TCACAAGTTTCATTCTTGCTTGCAAAAGAAGGCAAGGCAGAAAAGGAAAGCTGCCTTAGCTTTTTTGAGTTTGACAGTGAGCAATGGATTGGGAAATAAAGGAGCAACATCCTCTTCCTTATCAAGTCCTACTCAGAGAACACAGAAAATGCCATGGAATCATAGCAATGTGCTTACTTAGCTCATTTAAGAACCAATTAGAAATGTTACACAACAATGTAAATTCATGTAATGCTACTGAACTGTACACTTAAAAATGGTTAAAGTGGTACCACAATTTTACATTTTTAAACTTTTTAAAAAAATAACATATCAGAAGTGAGGAGTGGGAAGAGTAGAAAACCACTGCCTGGTAAATTGTGGCCTAGATATGCAGGAAAAAGAATGACCATATTGGGTAATGGCATATAGTGGAATTAACACTATAAAGCATTGTAACAGCCTGGGCTTTGGAGTTAGACTCCTTGGGTTTGTATTAGCTGGATGATATGCGGAAAATTGCTTAGATTCTTCTGAGCCTAGGTTTCCTCATCTGTAAAATGGGAAGAAAGTCCTTGTGGTCTGCAGTCCTCATAGTGCTTTAAAGATCACCATCAATTCTTTGTCTTCCTTCCCTTCCCTTAAATCTGGCTGGCCCGGTGACTGCTTAACCAATAAAAAATAACAAAGTTATGTTGTGCTAATTCTGAGCCTACACTTTAAGAAAGTTTCTAAGCTTCTGCTTTTGAATATCCCTACTGCTACCATTTAATACATCCAGCTATCATGCTACAGAAACCATATGAAGAACCAAGTGGAGAGGAGAGGCACTGAGATTACTGGGAGAGCATGCAGAGGGAGAGAGCCAGCCATCCCACAATCCCAGCTGAATTCCAGATGGTTCCAGCTCCAGTCAATATCTGACGCAATTTCATGAGAGACTCCAAGCAAGATCAGATGGGCCCGGAACTGTGACAGATAATAAAATGGTTGTTGTTTTAGGTTACTATGTTTTGGGGTAGTTTATTATGCAACAATGGATAATTGAAACATTCTTTAGTTCAGGGTCCTTGGGATCAGAGCTGTGCTTTGGAATTGAGAATGTGTGGGAGTTTAGAACTGAATACAGTATATATGCCATATGTATATAATACCTCCAACAGGGCCTATGGCATAACCAAACACATTAATATTTCTGCCACAAAACGCATGACTATAAAGTGGGAAAACTAAGGAGTATAAAAGTCTTACGACAGTTCGTGTCAGGTTTGGCTGCCAAATGAATCTTAGTGTCAAGAAAAAAATCTTTTTAATTTTCAAAATTATGGACAAGAGATTGTAGACCTGTACTTATCTCAAAGGGTTGCTGTAAGGACTAAACAATATGTGTAAAACAACTAAAACAGTGCCTAGCACGCAGTAAATACTGTTATTATTGATCCTACTATTGAGAATTCTAGGAATTGGGGATCCAGGTTATTTTAGTGCCTGACCTGGTCGTAGTCCTCAGGGCCAAAGGGCGCATCCTGCTGTAAAATATGGTGCAGCTGAGCCTTCACCCGGTGCTGGCAGCTGCTCAAGGAATCCCCATCGCTGTCCAGTAGCCCATTCATGTTGGCACTGTTCACCATTTACACTAAAATGAGTGTCAGCTCCTCTTCTACAGCCAGAAGGCCCTAAAGAGAAAGCACAAGGTCTATTTGTTTCCCTTGCAGGTTAGCAGGTTAGTATCCCTAGGCCTAGATGTTCCCAGGGATCGAATGGGACCTGGTTGAAGAGATGGGGCCTACAATCACTGATTATTCTCAGCTCATTCTCAGTAGTACAAAATGGGTCCAATACATGCAGAAACTTCTGAGTTGGCCTACAAGCACCCTGAAATGCTCCAACTGGTTCTCCAAACTCTGCTTCTCTACCTAATGGAAACTGGGACTATAGAACTGTAGTATGCACCTTGGCGAAGGCAGCAGCAGTCATCTGAACACGACCCTCATCAGAGGCATAGATCTTGAGGTCGTGGCGGAAAGTGCTATGGAGACGAAGCAGCCCACAACCAGGGAAGCCAGCATAGTCACCTGGGGACAAAGCGGGGGACCAGGAATGGACTGCTATAAATACTCACGGAAGAAAAAATATTCATTTCCCCACTGTCTCTGTCACTTCATTTTCCCCAACTTACTCTCTAATCATTTTTATCCCGGCCCTGTTGTGTTTACTCCCCAAAACACTCACCCTGTCCTCCAGGGTACATGCAGCGAAAAGCTTGCCCCAGCTTCTCAGTCTGAACAGGGCCAGCTAGAGTCAGTTCTCCATTCCACTTCAGCACCAGCAACAGGGATGGGGCCAGAGCCTCACTCTGTGGATATGAGGGAATAAGCGGCAGTGAATGGTCTAGATCTAAGAAAAGTAGTGGGAACATCTAAATGTTAGGTCTTCTGAAGAGGCCAGAGAGGTAATTTGAGGTATAGGTCATCTACAGGCTCAAGTAAAAGACATCTGGTGGGGAGAGAAGATAGACAAAAAAAAATAAAAAGAACACAAGATCTGAGAGGTAATGGTAAGGGGGACTACATCTTACCTTGCCCCTCATTAGACGCTTTTACTCCATGAGGGTAGTAAGTCAATTGTACCTTCCAGTTTATACCTGAGAAGTGACCATACCTGCAGGATAAAGTCACAGTTTATTTTCTGTTCCAGCACCCCAACTCTCACTGTTATTGGCTCCCTTTTGCTATCCCCTTTCTCACATCTCCAATACAGACTTCAGCTGCCTAGTTTTCCAGTCTTCTCCTCGATCTCACCACCTGGTTCTTTCTCCAGTTCAGCCAACAACAGCCTTGTGATATCCAGCACCTCCTAGAGGAAATAAGGTATCCATGCAGAAGGCCAAGTCCTAGACAGTTACCTTTTGATCCCAGTCTTTTATCAAGACTCCCAATGCCATACCCTCTCTCTCTCTCATAGCACTGCTCCTCCTGGCCAGATTCACTACCTTACCTGGAGCTGCTCAGGTCGCTTGAGTTTTAATTTCCCTGTCTTGTAGCCACCATGTTTTTCAGAGCAAAAAACCTGAAGAAATAATGAGAAGTTTCAGTGTGGGATGAGACAGTCAAAGCCTCTAGGAGTTGCGCCCCATGCAGTCTTCCTCACGAAAACCTATTTGTGTAAATTAGGACACTCTTCCTACCTTGGGTGTTTCACTTCCATCTTCATCTTCTGCTTGGGAGTACGATCCCCATGACGAATAATTGCAATGACACGACAAAGTTCCATCCTAAGATCATAAATGTTATCAGAGCCTCTCCCACACCCCCATCCCACCTCCTGTCATCACATTACTTGACATGTCAAAAAATAGAGGGGCTGAGCAGGGCTCGTGCCTGTGATCTCAGCACTTTGGGAGGCTGAGGTGGGAGGATCACTTAGGCCCAGCAGAAACATATGGTGAGCATAAGCAACATAAGGTCAGCCTGTCTATAAAAAAGTTAAAAGAAAAAAAATTATCCAGGCATGGTGGCATACGCCTGTGGTCCCAGCTATTTGGGAGGCTGAGGTGGGAGGATCACTTGAGCCCAGGAGGTAGAGGTTGCAGTGAACCATGCGTGTACCACCGCACTCCAGCCTGGGAGACGAGCCAGACCCTGTAAAAAAAAAAAAAAAAAAAAGAAAAAAGAAAAAGAATAGGAAACTGTGATTAGGAATATAAATGGAGGCTGGGCATAGGGGCTCATGCCTGTAATCCCAGCACACTGGAAGGCCAAGGCGGGTGGATCACTTGAGCTCAGGAGTTCAGGATCAGCCTGGTCACATGGTGAAACCCTGTCTCTACTAAAAACACAAAAATTAGTCAGATGTGCTCACCTGAACCCAGGAGGTTGAGGTTGCTGTGGGCCGAGATCATGCCACTGCACTCCAGCCTGGGCAACACAGCGAGACTCTGTCTCAAAAAAAAAAGGGCGGGGAATATAAGTGGAGTTAAGAAGACTGTGTATAAGAGGCCCAGGCTCCGTTAGTCAAATAGTGTGGGGTCAGGAAGTAACCAGTAGCCTGGCTGAAGGGGTCCCATGGGTCTTAAGTAATATTTATTGAGGGCACCCTACATTCTAAGTATTATATCAGAACATTAAGGCCAGGCACACTGGTTTACACCTATAATTCCAGCGTTTTGGGAGGCTGAGGAGGATGGATCACTTGAGTCCAGGAGTTCGAGACCAGCTTGGGCAACATGTCAAAACCCAGTTTCTACAAAAAAATACAAAAATTAGGCAGGCATGGTGGTGCATGCCTGAAGTCCCAGCTACTTGGGAGGCTGAGGCAAGAGGATCATTTGAGCCCGGGATGTGGACATTGCAGTGAGCTGAGATCATGCCACTGCACTCCAGCCTGGGTGACAGAGTGAGACCCTCTCTCAAACCAAAAATAAAAAACATAATAAAATTCCCATGCTCTCTCTCTCTTTCATCTACTCCACCTTAAAAGACAGATGCCCAGTCAGATGCCATGGTTTATCCCTATAATTCCAGTATTTTGGGAGGCTGAGGTATGAGGATCACTTGAGCTCAGGAGTTTGAGACCAGCCAGAGCAACACAGCAAGACCCCATCTCTACAAAAAGAAATTTAAGGCTGCGCACAGGGGCTCATGCCTGTAATCCCAGCACTTTGGGAGGCTGAAACAGGATGACTGCTTGAGCCTCAGAGTTTGAGACCAGCCTGGGCAATACAGGGAGACCGTGCCTTTACAAAAGCTTTTTCTTCTTTTTTTTTTTTATTGAGACAGAGTCTCGCTCTGTCGCCCAGGCTGGAGTGCAGTAGCGCCATCTCGGTTCACTGCAAGCTCCGACTCCTGGGTTCACGCCATTCTCCTGCCTCAGCCTCCTGAGTGGCTGGGACTACAGGCGTCCGCCACCATGTCCGGTTAATTTTTTTTTTCTTTGTATTTTTAGTAAAGACGGGGTTTCACCGTGCTAGCCAGGATGGTCTCGATCTCCTGACCTCATGATCTGCCCGCCTCGGCCTCCCAAAGTGCTGGGATTACAGGCGTGAGCCACCGCACCCGGCCAACAAAAGCTTTTTCTTAAATTAGCCAGAGATGGTAGCATATTCCTGTGGTCCCAGCTACTTGGGCGGCTAACCTGGGAGGATTGTTTAAGCCCAAGAGGTCAGGACTACAGTGAGCCGTGACTGTACCACTGCACTCCAGCCTGGGTGACAGAAGACTGAAAAAAAAAAAAATAGTTTTTTTTTTTCTTGAGATGGAGTCTCGTTCTGTCACCCAGGCTGGAGTGCAGTGGTGCTACCTCAGCTCACTGCAACCTCCGCCTCCCAGGTACAAGCAATTCTCCTGCCTTAGCCTCCCGAGCAGCTGGGATCACAGGCACACCCTACCATGCCCGGCCAATATTTTGCATTATTTTTCAGTAGAGACGGGGTTTCACCATGCTGGCCAGGCTGGTCTTGAACCCCAGACCTCATGAACTGCCCGCTTCGGCCTCCCAAAGTGCTGGGATTACAGGCATGAACCACCATACCCAGTCAAAAAGTTTTTAAAAATTAGTGAGGCATAGTGAGTGGTACTTGCCAGTGGTCCCATCTACTCAATAGGCTGAGGTGGAAGGATTGTTTAAGCCCAAAAGGTCAAGGATGCAGTGAGCCATGATCGTGCCACTGCACTCCAGCCTGGATGACAGAGTAAGACCCTGCCTCAAATAATAATAACAACAATAATAATAATAAAAGACAGATGCCCAAGTTCAGAAAATCTGTTCAGGCAAAGAGGTCTAGTGCAGTTGGGAGGTTGAGGACACAGGCATCCATACAGCAGTCTCCAATCCATTCTCAAACTGAAATCTCAATGTTCTCTCTAGTGTCCCCTGGTACTATAGAAGCAGTGTTAGTCTAGGCCAAGGTCCCTCATACCAGGAGCAACAGTGAAAAAAAAAAAAAAAAAAAAAATCCTGCCTAAAACTGCACAAGTAAGAATATCTTAAGACTTTAACTTGAGGGCCGGGTGCAGTGGCTCATGCCTATAATCCCAGCACTTTGGGAGGCCGAGGCGGGTGGATCACGAGGTCAGGAGATCGAGAGCATCCTGGCTAACACGGCAAAACCCCGTCTCTACTAAAAATACAAAAAAAAAAAAATCGGCCGGGCGTGGTAGTGGGCACCCATAGTCCCAGCTACTCGGGAGGCTGAGGCAGGAGAATGGCATGAGCCTGGGAGGCAGAGAAAGCAGTGAGCCGAGATCCACCACTGCACTCCAGCCTGGTCAACAGAGCAAGACTCTGTCTCAAAAAAAAAAA